AAGCAGAACAATGACAACACTCTGGATGTTTAGCTCTGTTTAAAGCTGCATATTTGCATATTTTGACATGGTCTTTCTTTCAGTTTTTAAAAGTGGCATGCCTGAGAACTTGGTAGCTGTAGCTAAGCGCATCGACCACTATAAACATTCTACAACGACATTAACATTTGCAAAAAAAAATTATTTTGCCTGTGTTACAGCCGCCCTTTCCGAGAGACAACATTGCGAATTTTTCTTTCGACAAGGGCGGCTATCTCACAGACGAACAATGAATTTGGTTACAAATTTCGCTAAATTTCAGACTGCATTCGACTGAACGTTCTTAGCTTTACGTTTACATCCTCATTACATAACATTACAAACAGATTTACAAGTTATACCATTTCCAATTGTTTACGTTTTTAGAAGTTTATGTTAAAACTTCCAATAGTTCTAAAAAATATGCTACCAACTTGTTTTACAGTGAACCATGTAACAAGACAAGCTTATGGTTTTTGTTCAAATATCTCCCTAAACGGCATTTAGTTACTGCCACGTATTATTTTATATGAATTTAAATTTTAGTGTGATATTTTACCAGACCTCATAGGACTTTTTAAAAAAGTCATGAAAATGACAATCTTCTTCTAGTCACTATTGCCCTGGAGTGTATTCTTAGTACGTAATATTCTTGGAATTTGGCGGTTAATTTAAGGGGTTAACCTTCTTATTTTAAACAGTTCTTACAAAAACAAAGCTGACATGCACAAATAAACAACCTGTTAAGCGTGGTTTTCACTACGACATAAGAACAAGCACAAGCATAACGGAAGTGGGGACGCNAAACAGTTCTTACAAAAACAAAGCTGACATGCACAAATAAACAACCTGTTAAGCGTGGTTTTCACTACGACATAAGAACAAGCACAAGCATAACGGAAGTGGGGACGCGCACAACACAAGGACAAGAAGAACAAAAACTTTTGTCCTTTATGTGCTTATGCTTATGTGAAGTGTCAACGCGCTGCTGTAAGGATGAGTATAATCAAAAGTCCGCCATCTTGTTTTACTGTACCGAGGAGGTATGGAATCGAAAATAAGCCAATTATCCATTCTGTGCATGCTTACGAGCTTATACTTGTGTCGTAGGCGTCCCCCCTACCATTATGTTTATGCTTGTGCTTATGTCGTAGTGAAAATCAGTCTTTATAAAGCAAATCAGTGTCTGAAAACAGTATTAACCTCAATTATTGCTTACAAACTTCTTCGACTATTAGAAAGGTATACAGTTTCTTTTACACTTCATTGAAAACGAAAAATCTTTTAGACCTGCTTGTCCTAAACGCTTACGTCTTGATTTCAACTTTTCAATGTAAATTTTTTGCATCATAATACTTGACTACATTAGTTCACATCGCAGTTTGTGTATAACGCTATGTAAACATGACGTCAAAGAGACCATGCATTCCAACACAGTATCGGTACAAACTGAAAACTACTGAATATTGAAACAACTACTTCAATGTGTAAACTTTGTTAGCTTTACAGCTAGTCACGAGAATACGTCCATCTGGAGCTGTTGCTATTCCAGTAGGACTTAGTAAATCAGTGACAGTTTTGCCTGTGAAGCGACCGTCTAAAGAAAACTGCTGAACTCGGTTATTGCCGTAATCACATACAAGAAGATTATTGAAGCTGTCTAGAAGCATACCACGCGGATAGTCAAATTGTCCGTCTTGTTTCCCATGTTTTCCAAACTTGTACAAGAAAGTTCCTGACTGATCGAAAACTTTAACACAGTTATTGCCTGCATCAGNGTTTACGTTTTTAGAAGTTTATGTTAAGACTTCCAATAGTTCTAAAAAAATACTGCCAACTTGATTTACAGTGAACCAGGTAATAACACAAGCTTATCGCTTATGTTCAAATATCTCCCTAAACGGCATTAAGTTATTGGAATGTATCGTTTTACATAAATTGAAATTTTAATGTTAGATTTCACCAGAACTCATACGGCGTTTCCAAAAAGACATCAAAACAATCTTCTTCTAGTCGCTATTACCCTGGAGTGGGTTCTTAGTATCTTAGAATTTGGCGGGTAATTTAAGGGGTCAACGTTCTTAGTTAAACAATTCTTGCCAAAACAAAGCTGAAATGTACAAATAAACAAACTGTAAGCCTGCTTTTGACTACGACATAAGAACAAGCACAAGCATAACGGAAGTGGGGACGCGCACAACACAAGCACAAGCAGAACAAAAATTTTTGTCCTTTATGTGTTTATGTTTATGTGAAGTGAGAACACGCTGCTGTAAGGTTAAGTATAATCAAAAGTCCGCCATCTTGCTTTACTGTACCGAGGAGGTATGGAATCGAAAATAAGCAAATTATCCATCCTGCGCATGCTTACGAACTTCTGCTTGTGTCGTAGGCGTCCCCCTACCATAATGTTTATGCTTGTGCTTATGTCGTAGTGAAAATCAGTCTTTATAAAGCAAATCAGTATCTGAAAACAGTATTAACCTCAATTATTGCTCACAAACTTCCTCGACTATTAGAAAAGTATACAGTTTCTTTGACACTTCACTGAAAACGATAAATCTTTTAGACTCGCTTGTCACACACGCTTACTTCATGATTTCGGCTTTTCAGATCAATGTAAATTCTTTACATCATAGCACTTGACTAGATTAGTTCAAATGCTAATTTGGACATAACACTAAATAAACATGACGTCATAGAGACCGTGCATTTCAACACAGTATCTGTACAAACTGAAAACTACTGAATATTGAAACAACTATTTCAATGTGTATACTTTGTTAGCTGTGGCGCTAGTCACGAGAATACGTCCATCTGACGCTGTTGCTATTCCAGCGGGACCTGGTAAATCAGTGATAGTTTTGCCTGTGAAGCGACCGTCTAAAGAAAACTGCTGAACTCGGCTATTGCCGTTATCACATACAAGAAGATTATCGGAGCTGTCTAGAAGCATACCAAACGGCGAGTCAAATTGTCCATCTTGATTCCCTTCTTTTCCAAACTTGCGCAGCAAAGTTCCTGACTGATCGAAAACCTTAATGCAGTCATTGCCGTCATCAGCTATGACAAACAGGTTTTTGTAAGGAATGCAGCTTGATGGTTCATTGAGTTTCTCTGGGCCACTGTCTCCAAACATGGAAATAGTTTCTCCATCCTTTGACAACACTTGTATCCTATGATTGCCCCACTCGGTTACAACAATGCGTCCTTCATCATCTAAACAAACATCAAGTGGATTCTCAAACTCTCCTTTTCCTGCACCATGCTTTCCAAAGCTTTTCACAACAGTTCCTGTCTGGATATTTACTTGTTGTATCCTATCATTCTCTTGGTCTGCAATTAGAATCTCATTGTTGTTTACAAAGGAAACGCCCACTGGGTGGCTAAATTGTCCAGGATTTTCTCCTTCGCTACCAATTTTCCTTAAACAGTTGCCATATCTATCGAATACATAAACACAGTGGCCACAGACATCTGTCACAACTATCTTGCCTTCTGTGTTAACGGCGAGTCCATCCAACCTTTGAGGCACGTCTGCTGGGAAGAATTTTAAGTCCAACTCGCCAACGACCACAAGTTCACGTTCTTTTACCTGCACATAAA